ATCAGTTCAAAGACCAAAACTATCAAAATCCAAAATTCTGCAAGAAACCAAAGAATTTTTTTTTTTGCAAGAAGTAGGAAATAGAGACGAAACGTGAAAAAAGGGAAGAGAGAAGAAGAAACTAATTAAGATCAGATGATAAATGAAAATTAGTATACCCGCTTTCAAGCAGGAATTTTGCCCTTATGAATGAGTGAAAAATTAATTTGAGCTTCATTCATGAGATTAGAATCCTATAGGAATCTTGAAGTAGTAATTACTTTTGAGATTAAGTGTATTTATCTACTATTCCAAATTATGTGCCCAGGTATCAATTTCGAAACATGCATGAGTAAGTAAATCAAAATAAGGACCCAAAAATGTGAAATAAATAACGAAAATGTGAAAACCTGATTTCCAGAGATTGAAGTCTTAGCTTCATAAGCAAAAATCACAATATACAAAGCCCCAAATTTAATAATCAGACCACATCACATGCCATATCATGGAAAAATTAAATCATATCAGAGAAAAATTAAAAAGATCTGATATTGAAAGAGTAAAGGAGAAAAGGGAATTTTTCCAACAAAAAAGAAAATTAAAAAACTCACCAAAGAATTGTGAAGCAGTCAAAGTTCAACTTTTGAGGAGTAAGAAATATACTCGTACAGTAATAAAGAAAGTGGCACACGTGTAATTTGATGGAGAGCCTATACGTGTTCAATAGGCCCACAAAGAGCAAAAGCCAACGAATAGGCCCAAATATTGAAGTACAATTTAGATAACTATATTTTGTACAGCAAATGACAACAGTGTTCGTCGTGTTCGTCCTCTTCAAACTCTCGCTTCTAAATATTAGTTACTAGCCAGGTAAGCCCGTGCTGTGTGCCCAACACAATTAACATAGTTTTTTGAAGTCTTCTAGTAAAGATTTTTACCCAACCTTTTGAAGAACATTATATTAGTGCACGATAAAAAAAAATTATTTCACATACCATCATTTAAGTTAAAATTATGCAAATTTGAGAGTTTAAAAACAAAATATATCTTCTAAAGTTGATACAACTCTGTTTCTGTTCATCTGGAACCATAATCCGTTTGAAATTTCAAATACACGTGATGAGAACTTTTTAGGATAACTTGAACTTTTTTCTCCCGTTTCATTGTAACCTGCAATGTATTTTAAACAAAAATTATCCAAACCTTTTTTTTACATTATACATAGGAAAACAAAACAAACTACTATATGGTCCAAAGCCTAACATCATTGTGAAAGAAACAATATCACCACAAAAATTTCCACCTGACATTAAGAATCAGAAGTGCACATGGTCAGAGACGCACACACGCAATACAGAGAACAATATTTTGGGTAAGACATCAGATAAAGTTTCTTGTTTATTCCACTTTTTTATCATCATATATGCGAAAATAACATTTATCAAATACCACTGAAGCCATGGGAAAGAACGCTGGGAAATTTATAGATTTGGCCAAGCCTCTCCTTCAACCGCAGTTCTATCCTTCCCATTAACAAATAAAGAAATAATGTCCTATGAGGTAACAAAGTAAATCAAAAACCTTTGTCTCTTCCATGGAGGAGGAAGGTTCTTCATTTACGCCAATTTTACCTCTTCTCCATTGTCTAGCCCTACACTTTATGGTACTCTAGTAGTAGTAGTGTGAGCACGTGATTTTTGCCCTATATGAATACTCCTATAAAATCCCAAGAAAATAGATTTTTTGTTAATTATTTGACATTTTAAGAAATTTGTGTAGAATTTTATTTAATTGTTTGCATTTTGTGCATGTTTGAGTTTTATTTAAATCATGAAAAATACCAAAAATATCATGCATGACATTTAGGATTTATTATTACATTTTTAGAATTAACCAGTAATTATTTGTTTGATAGAAATTTGAAAATCACAAAAAATAGCTCATTTTTACATTTTTTGTCTTTTAATTTTTAGCTTATTGATTTTTCTCTTTTAATTTAGAATTAAGTATTGTTTATAATTTTATAAATAGCTAAGTAGTTTAATTTTACACTTTTGTATAATTTAGGATTTTTAATTTGTAGGATTTTAATTAAAAGAAAAGGAAAATTAGAAAATAAAAGAAAGAATTGGAAAAAGATTTGTCTTGTGAAATTGGGCCCTTCTTTACACCAAATTCGGCCCAAAAGCAATTCCCACAATCCAAGCCCAAACATTTATCAAAACCCGCCGGACCCGACCCGTCTAGCCCATAACCGAATTCCTTTCCCTTCTTTAAAATCCCTTCCTATCCTAGACCTAAAAAGAAGAAAAAAGATGCTCAGATTCCCTAAGAGCTAAAAACGGCGCCCAGCAGCTCTCTTTGGGGAATTCCCATTTCATTTTCTCCAAATCCTACGCTGAAACCGGACCTCCCTCCCACCTTCACGCTGTCTCCCTTCACTCCCATTCAAAACACGCGCACACACGAAAAAGTTGAGAACCAATTTTGAATTTTACAAAAAATCATATCTGAAGAAAAGAAGCAAAGAAGAACACCCAAAAAATAGGATGAAACCGTGATTTGTTTTTGTAATTTTTGAACTGTTGGTCGTTGTTCTGGGTGTCCGAAGCTGTTTAATCCGAGGAATTGCTTCATTTCTGCTGTTCTCTTCTTGCTGCGCCTAAATCTAAGAATTCCAGGCCTGTATCTTGTTATCCGCTATTATTTTCAGCTAATAAGTATGTCCACACGCCTTCTTTGTGCTTACTGAGTCGTGAATGAGATTTGAGCTTGTCCGTTTCTACCTGATTTTGAGATTCAGAATGTTGTTGTTTGGATCTCACTATATTGCTGGTTAGGATATATTAATGAATTGGTGTAGGATAACTGAATTGGTGGTCTGTTAATTGTTTATCATGATGAATGTGATGCTACTTTCGGCAAAAGAGATGCATAGACTTATTAGTCAAGCTGGTGTTTTAATTTCCTCGTAGATATAATTACTTTCTGCATTAGTTTTGCTAAAGAGGCATCAGGGGAATAGCACGGTCAAATACACATTTTAATATTTATGATACTCCTCTTCTCTGATCAAAATTTAACTTCTTCATTCTCCTCATGGCGGGTTTGTGTTAATGACTCGTAAATTGCATTTCAGAAGAGTTGATGCCTGTTGGTCTCATCCAAAAGCAAAAATGCTCTCTTCAATATTTTGTTGGTTTAGATCCTTATTTTGGTCAAAGGAAACTGTCTTTGGTAATTCACAAGGATTTCCTATTAGCTATAAATGTAAAATTTAATTCTGGTTTTGGACATTTTAGGGAAATGGATGGATTTTGCCTAGTTTACTTTCGTTTGTTATTTTAAGGAATCAATAATTGGGATGACACTTAAAGCAGAAACTAGTGTTAAGCATCAACCAAAGAGTTGAGCAAGAATGATCTTTTGCATTGCACAATTGATGTAGAACGGAAATAGTTATGAACTTGAATATAAATAAGCTTAAAGATCAGCGGTTAGCTGCTCTTGTTCATTTTCTTACGTTTTGGTCTTAGTAGTAAGTTCATTATCTGATTTTCGTACAAAAGTACCCGACTTGTTTTGTACCCGACTTTAACAAATCCCAATTCGGGGTGCATTTATGTAACCCGATTGTAATAACTTCGAATAGTAAAGCCCTTTAGAATCATTGGAGGCGTGCCGTGCCCAGTAAAATACCAAATGCGTGGCCCTCACTTATTTCTTTTAAAATCCTAGAACTCGAGGCGTGCCATTTAGCAAATTTCCATGGCCCTCGCAAAGCTGAAACGCGTAGTTGCTTTAGGCGCGTTATTTTAATAACATTATCTTCCTAAACTCGGGTGTGTATTTCATGTGACCCAAATCCAAATCTCAAAAATGTTAAATAACATCATCTGCTTGCTTGGTCACTTTCGTGATAAGGCGCTTAAAAGGATTCTGGATTCTATATATTTTGGGAACTAAAAGAGTGGCTGGCAAATGTATCGTGGAGCGCAGGTGCATTTCATGTGGCGTGGTTCAAGTCGTGTTTTAAATAACGTTGAATCTTCCTAAAATTAATTAAAAGCGGTTAATAAGTTAAAAATGTACCATAGGATAAAACATGTATTAAAATCAGATAATAGGCCAATTATGATAGTTTAAGCGACCGTGCTAGAACCGCGAAATCTAGGGGTGCCTAACACCTTCCCTCGGGTTAACAGAATTCCTTATTCAGAATTTCTGATTCGCGGACTGTTAAATAGAGTCAATCTTTTCCTCGATTCGGGATTGGAACCGGTGACTTGGGACACCATAAATCTCCCAAGTGGCGACTCTGAATCTTTTAACAAATAAATCCTGTTTCGATTGTCCTTTAATTGGAAAAACTCCATTATAGGTGAAAAAGGAGGTGTGACAAGTAGAAATAACCTTCTTCATGGGATCAATTCAATAACTTTTAACTGCCAAGCAGATCAAAAGCTCAATAGTTTGTGACCCATCCAAGAACCCTACAACCTCCAATGTTGCAGCAGCTTATTGCAAGTAAGGTTTAGGGATGTTGTCCATGGAAACAGAAAAGTAGTTCGCAGAGCCGATAATTTCACAAAAAGCAGCAGCTAGCCTTCTAAGAAAGAAAACTTCTCACAATTCAACATCCTAGAGGTCTCTTGTGAGCTCTGTTATATCAAAAGATTGCTAGTCCCACTCACGATGCTACTCCCTGAGGCATGCAATTCTGGAAGATGGTATAGTGTCACATGATAGTTGGTTCGAGCAGGCAGGCAGTATGATAATTTTACTATATAAATATTGTCTTCAATTTATATTTTTCATCCTCTTCCTCTTTAATATCCCTGCGAATTTGTAGTTATAGTGTGAAAGTTTTAACAAATTATTGATCGGTAAACTAAAATCGAACCACTCTAGACCAACAATATGCGACTTATGCGAATCCGGAGAAGTGTTTCCAAAAATTGAAAGCTTGAAAGATCATCAAGCAGTTATGCATGCTGGTAATCTTGAAAAGTTTATTCTTTTTTCTTTATGCTTTTTTTCTCATTTACTTTCGAAATACGGTCTCACTCTGTTTATATCCTCAGATTTAAGTCCATTTCAGTTTAATCTCCTTTTCTTGAAAAAAGCACTACTTGGGAGAGTCAGATTTATCAATATTTCATAAAATCAAATCACAGGACAGGGTCTCACATGCACATGCTCAATGTAGATAGTCCATCAAAAAAGAGCCAATAAAGAGCTATAAGACATAGTTAAAAGAAGATAGTCTCAGAGAAAACCAACTTATTACGTTCAAAACTAGCTTCATGCTACCACATTATTGTAGGACAGAGACTCCAAAAATAAATCAGAGAATATACCAATACCTCAAGAATCAAGACTAAAGAAAATTACTGTTTGTACTTGTATGAGGAAGTAAGGTTATTGCATTAACCTTTCAATATATTTTTTGCTCGCTTTTCCCTGGACGACTAAATAGACATTGCCAGTGTTGCTGCAATTTCAGCAATTTCAGAAGGTCTGAGCTCCATGAAGCCAACATCTACCCTCAATTATAATCCAATCACCAAATTAAACACACTAAAGATCTAAAGACCAGATGTTGTAGTAGTAGTAGTAGTAGTTGGTTCACCATATTCAAAGACTCAAGTAAGGTGAGACCTTTTATTATACTTGGTAACAATTGTATTGATCATGAAAATAAAGACCACAATTGTATTTGATCACTACTACCTTTCTTAGTAAAAACTTAAAAGTGCAAGGTGTATCTGCACTTCCACTTCAATATGCTTAACTACCCCAAGAGTTGGTTATTTTTAACAGTTTGATCTTCAAACACAAATTTAGGCTCCACGATTTTAATATTAGCTGCACAATCAAATTCAAATAAACTTAATGTAACAAATAGAAAAAATATACCTCTTTTGAATGATAGATTTCAGTGGCACCTGTCCATCAGTTAGAGGAGCATCAATCTCTTTCTTAGAGGAGCATAATCATTTTTCATTTTGGCAACAGAAAAAAGGCCATGCTACTTTTCAAATTTTACTTCTCTATAAATTCCAGAAAAGCAATTGAACATAGTGCAGGAAAAAAGTAACATTTAAAGACAGAATGCTGCAAATTAAAAGAGAAATTTTCATATAGCTACAATTGGCATGCATGCAATTTCAGGGAATTTCTACAAAACAGATAACATCTACAACAATCAGTGGTGTTAAAAGGCTCACCTTGCACTTTTGTATCAGGGAATATGTTTTTTTTTCTTGAATAAAGAACTTCAAAGTTCTGTTTTGTGTGCTGATAATGGGTAGTGACTGATTTTGGCGTTGTATTTGTATTGAGCAATTGTTCTTGGATAAAGGCTGCAACTTTAGTATTGAAATAAAAAATATAGAAAATACTTTACTTCTAGATTCAATATTAGCAACTGACTTAGCTTTCTTCTAATAGTTTTTTAATATATATTATTGGATTCAAGATTTCTGCCTGAACAATAATAACCATTAACTTGACACCATGATTGTTATATCAGTCTACATGTTGCACATATAAATAAGACAAACGACAATAAAAAATATTTCCAATAAAATGATTTCTTTAGTTTACAATAAATTATATTTTACATAGAATAATTTAGAATTAGAAAAAACTGACATACATATTTAAGTCATAGAAAGCCTACCTTAAATATCAAGTCTAAGTTTATTGTCATTGCAAACTACACTGTATTCTTCCTTGAACTGGAGTTAGTCGAAGCACAAATATCTCATGAACTTTACCAACAAATTCTCAATCGCATAGCATCAACAGATCCACTTATCTAACATTTGTTCTATTCATGTAGTAGTATCTCTTATGTGGACCAAAAAAGAGTCCTCTCATATTCAGAACCGGTAGGAGTGACTAAACTATGTCTGTTGTTTCAAATTCCCTTAAAAGATAAAAAATAATCATCTAACATATTTCGTGGTTATTTTTATAGGAGCTGATAGCAGGAGTTAAATTTCTCCAGAATAAAGCCGAAATTGAAATAATGTAGCACCTAAAAATAGTAGTCATTGACAAGGACTACTCCCCTTAAAAGCCGCCTCACTCCAAAATTTGCTAATTTCTTAGCTATAAATCAGAAATAAATATGTATTCTAACATATACACTAAGTATCTATTTTGAAAAATCGTGAGCAAAATACAAATTACTAACATGCATGTAAGAAATTTAACAGAAAAATCTAAGATAGGAAGAAAACCAAACTGGATCTATCAAAATCACATCACCAAGAAATGGGTGCAACAAAGAAAGAAGGAGAATAAAGTAGAATCTACCAAAATTCACAAGTACAATAGAGCTACATAAGAAACTACAAACCAATCAATCAAAAAAATTTACAATTTAAAAGATGGAAGAACAGAAAAGAGTATAAGAAAGTTAAGATACTCACAAACAGAGATGGTCTTCTAAATGAGAGAGAAATTCTAAGATGTGAAGTACTACTATAGACTATAGTTGAATATAAGTGCAGTACACATGGTTTGCTCAAATTAATAGTAGCTTGCAGAAAAAAACCGCAAAGCGAAGAGCCTCGCTGAAAGAGTGAAGACTGAGAAACTGGGATAGAGGAACAATGAAATAAAAAATGAGAGAAAATAGGGTTCTACACATAGATGAATACGGATGGACAAAGGGAACACATGTGTTTCTATAGAAATGACCGTAATTACTAATTTAACCCTAATTTAAAACTAAATTTCAGGTATACCTGTGTTTGTCCCCTGTTCGTCCCACCAAAGTCCCGTTTCTATATATTAGTAACTAGAGAGGTGATGCCCGTGCATAGCACGGGCCGACATATTAGGTATTTAGTTTATGCACATGCCTACTTGTTAGGTATTTAGTTTCTTTTAAACTATGGTGGCGATGGCATATACAACGCTTCTTATAGAAATTAAAATTAAAAAATTTCTCAGTTAACTCACTCTTCTTAACCAAGCAAGAATATTCATCTTTCTTCTATAGTTCTATTATTTCTATCATGTTGTACTCGTGAACTTTGCTCAGAAGGAACACATAACCATGTCCTCAGGATTCTAGAGTCTCGAGCTTTAAGAGTGTCTAATGCATTTGGCAATTTAGCCGCAATGGTTTGCTGCATCACAAGGAGCAGTCGGAGGAATAACTATTCTTGAATGATTATAATTTAGTGCAAGCTCATTCTTTGTATGTTTCATTAAACATAAAAAACAATTAGTATCTAAGATTAATAACAATGTTAAACTGGCCAACATAATTATCACTTTCCGAACACAAATTAATAAACCTCTTAATCTTTTCCACTTCTAGTTCTTCAACTCATCGGTACATGCAATACGGAGAGAGAGGTTGTTACACATGTTAAGAAGGAAATAGATTTTACCAAATCATTGAGTCCATTTGAATACAGAAGAATCAATCTTCCTGTAACTTTTTTTCTCCAAGTTTCTCCACAAACTTATTTGACCACAAAGCTCACAATACGTCTTCGCTTCTGATTCCCATAATACTGGCCAATAGGTTCATATGTGAATTTCCTTTCAGCCACAATTTGATTGTAGCCTTCAAACAACTCTGCTAAATGCAAAATAGATAGTCAAAGAATAGTGCTTTCCTACAAAGGAAATTTAACGACAAAATCCTATCCCAGACATCAAAGAGAGAAAACTGTAAGTTTTAACTTTATGTGGCATCATAGAGACATCCTCTGTAATCTCTTAAACATAACATGGAAATACAGTTAATATGAAAAATTGAACTTATTTTCCTTTCATTCATATCATGTTATCATGTAACAGAACCAAGTGTCATTAACTCATAATTGTAATATGACAAATCAGGTGATACTTGACATGTATGTATAGTACTGAGTAAGCCAACAGGAAATTCGTTAGTGCTAAATTGAACAATATTCAATAAGCTTTCTCACCTTAAGGAGTTTTACATCCATAGAACTCTAACGTCCACAACCACAAATATTGAATAGTATAAGCAACTGGTTACATGTAATTATCACTTATAAGGATTCTGTTTTTTGCTCAAATTGTTACTTTTAGACCATAGCTCATGCCTTGAACAAATTCAAATGTCAATTCATGTCAAGCACATACATCATACAAAAAGAAAATTATTCATGCACAGATAGGTCATGTCTTACTACAGAAATCTTCTGTAAATCTCCAACAGAAACATTCAAGGTTTCATCTTTGATAAGGTAGAACATTTAAGGTTTCGACCTCTAAGCAAAATTTTGACAGAAAAAAAGCTTAGAAAAATATTTCGTTACCTCCTTCTGTAGTAATGCCAAGAAATGCTTAAAACGTTAAAGCTCCCGCAGTACATTATTCCTCTAACAAAAAAGAATATATACTAACTATAAAATAATCAATAGAAAAGCTTTCATTTCTCTAACTGAAAAGAATATACACTAACTATAAATAATCAATAGAAAAGATTTCAAGTGTAAAAGGATATAACAGAAAAAGTCTCTCAAGTTGCCTATTCCGTGGAGAGCTTGTTAGTCGAAAAACTATCAATCTTGTTTAGACAAACAACAAATTTAACATTCTAACCTTGTGTAGAAACGAAAAAAGAATCTCCCGTCACGAGAGCAATTACTCCATCAACTCATGAAAAATGCTGCGACGTTCTTGTCAACAGGATTATCGTTCTTTAGCTTTCCAGAAAAGTATGTGTTTGAAATCAGGGGAATAGGTTTTTAGCATTAAATTCACTATACTTAGCATAAGGGCAGTAGAAAATACGAGCTCATAGTTGTACAATCCATTGTCATTTGATGTCATACCAACTTAAAAACTTACAGATGCACAAAACACCTATACACAAGTTCAAATGCAAAGTTTTGCAGAATAAATTCATTTTAAGTATCTCCTTTGAAAGTTATCCCTACAATATTGGTTAATGTACATAAATATTACAAGCTATATTCACTATAATGTTTGATAATCTATCCTACCATACTAACTGTGATGTTTAATTGTTTATTGTGTATATTTTTTGACGATACCAAACCAGATAGCATGTAGGAAAGAGTTCACATGGGAGAAACTAAGTAAATATCCACGGAGAGAGGGAGGGAGGGAGGGAGAGATTTGGTCGTCCTTAATCTTTTGTGCACTCTCACAACTGGAAGGCTACGATGTTACCATCTTTCATTAGACTATGTCAAGAACTAACCTGAAATATGAAGTCATGGAAAATCTTCATACCTCCTTTTTTTCAAGAAGGTAACATAAATATTTATGGCTCGTTTGTGGAACTGATTATAAATTTGTGATCCTAAGTGTATTCGCAGATAAGCAATAAAGGCCCTTATAGAAAAGCTACTGTAATTTGTTGCTAAGCATCTCATTCGACTGCCTAATTTTCTTGCATTGATTGTAGAAGTTGAACTAATTGATAAACTATAAATCAATTTGCATAGTTACTTATAGGAACATTTTTAACCAAGTTCTCTTCATTGTGATTTTCAAGCTGCTAAAGATTACTGATAATTTCAGGCTTAAATACCGTACATAGACATTACACTGCATAAAATTGAGACTAAGACTCTCTGCAAGCTTATTATATAATCATCTCATATTGCTGATCCTAACAAAGATCAATTGTGATGGATCTGACAAATACTACTATTTTGTGGAGCGAAGTTGACTAACTTTCCATGGTGCCAGCAATCCTATGAAGGCTGGAAACCTACAATCACAAATTAAGTACACCTGAATCATCACTTAGGGCATTGGTTATTTCAGCTGATCCCTCTGTCATATTTGAAAATAATCAAAATAAGATTTGTGAACTCCATTACACCAAATAAAATGAGTTAGACATATCATCAAACACTTTGGATGCATAATCCACTTCAACAACTCCAGTATTATTTATGTTCACATTAAACAAAAACAAAGCAATGAATACGAGTGGCTGAAAAATATTAAAATATGCAGGTGTGATATTGTCTTATTTTTTTTCCTTTAGAAGAGATTGGAACACAAGCCGGTGAAGCATATACATCAGGCATATATTCGACGGGGCGGTTCGAGAAATTTTGGAAGAAAACAAATTTTAGAAAAATGAACGGAAAGAGGCATGTAATCATAGCGGAGATCGAAACAAACCTTAGGTGGGCTAGCTTTGCAAACAAAATTCATACTTTTGCTACTTTAGATTTTTTATGAGACGATTTAATTTTGGAGTAGCTAATTTGTACCAAAAGAGAATTAATCAAAAGACATCAGGAAATAATTATCCAAAATCATACATCGGCATTCATCAAGGTATATAGTTTTAGGCATGCATGTGAAGATTAGATACAATTATTAAGACTCATATAAATTGTAGAATATTGCACGAAATTACCAACAAAAGGGCAACAAGCAAAGATAGACTGGGGAACTTACCAGAACTGAGAGCTGAAACTAACATATATCCAAAAAAGTGCAATGAACGAAGAAAATTGTAGAAACACTCACCATCAAAGAGATATAGAATTTTTTAAAAAATTACTCCTACCAAGTAGGGAAAGAGAGAGGAAGAAGAGAACTGGAAAAAGGAGGTAATACGCTTATATGACCAGACTATTAAGCGGGATGGAAAAGAATAGTTCTACACGTGTTTATAAAGTAGTACACGCCTCACAGAATAGTAGCAGTAAATGCTTGGATGACAAAAATTACAATATTACCCTAAAAGACTCCACAGTTTTGAAAATACAATTCTTATTGCTTATTGTACAACCACATATTGCAGTGTTCGTACACTTCTTCACATTTATATATAGTAGTAACTAGGCGGTGGCCCCATGCTATGCACGGGCATATGCCCGATAATGATAGGAATTCTTAAAGATACAATTTACAGTAGAGAAAACGACATTTAAAGTTGAGCAGAGCAAATTGGAAAAAATAGTAAAAAATAGTATTGATCTGAAGGTTAGTGAAATACAAACGAATCTGTTAAATTTTAATTTTAAACATTAGACTCATGTAAATAAAAAGTTCATATCTATACTATATTAAAAGCACGAAGGCCCTTAGCGAAATATCGTTCGCCTTTTTTACCCTTTTTAAAATAAAGTTCACATTAGACAAAATAGTCATTTGATTATTTCCCTAATATTTAAAAATAATCATTTAATTAATTCCCTACTATTTAGGAATAATATAACAAACTTAATCAAATTATTTATCGTTGTAGGTCCAATTATTGTAACTCTAACTATCGCATTAACTTAATAAACAAATGTTTGCATCTACTTTAATGTCCATTACAATTTTACATAACTTGTTCTTTTACATAAATTTTAATTGATTGACGCGATAAACACGTGCAACGCACGTATCCTAAAGCTAGTATATATTAAGGGAGTAGCCACTTTAATAAATTTAATCATAACTCACATCTACATTTTACAGACTTTGCCTTTAATTTATAATTTGTCTAATGAGAGCTGGATGTTTCATGCTTCCGGAATTCTTTTAGTAGCGTCAACTAAAAGTGGGGAGTTATCAAAAACTGCACAAATGACATGTGAAATTTCAAAACCTTCATCATTGAACAAACATATACTATCCAAGATCTCCATATATAGATGTGTATAGAGCTCCTCATTGGCTCAAAATAGATGCAAAAGTAAAGCATGGATACCTCCGAGGACATCGGAATAAGAAATCTGAAAAAATACTCTGTATAATTGGTGAAACGAAATGATGTAAAATTTCACTTACTTTGAAAGAATTCATGGCAGCTGGAAGCAAGAGTTATATATGCATAACAATGGGACTACTCCTATCTTATCCCGATATCTAGGAATGTAATAGATTGAACTCCATCAGTAAAGTTTCTAGAATGAACCCTCTCGCTCCAAAAATAAGGTAAAATAAGATAAATCACTCATAAAGCAGTATATACACAGCATATTGCAAACTAAGCTAGTAACTTGTCTCTAAGTTGTCTTTCTCCGATCACTATTCCAAAGCATATCTAAAGAGAATCAAAATTCATCCAACGCCCAAAGTAATCCATAAAGGAAAGCCTTAATAGTAATCAGAAAATTTAATACCAATAAAGCAACTTATCTCTAAGTTGTCTTTGTCGAATTAGTGTTAAGTTGGATTCTTCTTTCTAATTTTCAAGCAACTTTAATTTTTCTAATTTTCATCTCTCCCTGTCGTTCTTCTATGTTATCTGGCTTGGTTATCTTCTGGTGAGTTTCCGTATTATTTTTTTAGTTTTCCAAGCCGGTATAGGTGTTTAATTACACACACATGATTTTATTTTTCAGGTGATATTATTGCTTTTTCAATGTACTTATAAAATTAATTTTTAAATTATCCACTTTCTTAGATTGAACCCTTGATGCATGGACCCGTGAATTACCTATTTACCAACATAGATGATAATCTTCAAAGTAGAGTTTATCAATACCTTCTTTTGTCGCAGCTATATTTACACTACTATTGACACGCTAAACCTAAAAATCTCATATTTACTTTTAATAAGGACAAACTCAGCCAAATCAGCAAGCGCATCATAATGAAATGAAGTCAGACCTCTATTTTTCCCTTTACTCAGATGATTTTCTCATTTATAGGACCACTTCTGTTAGTACTCTTGACACCAACACCTAGCTAATGTAACAAAACTGTAAAGATACCACAACAAAAAAATAATTCAACTACTTCCAGTTCAAAAATACTTCTCCCAAAGTTTAAAAAATGAACATCCTAGTTTCCCTCTTCCCTCTGATGCGGAAGATGCAATACTGATGGCCAAAAGTCAAAGTTGGGCGTGAATTAAATAGGTCTCGTAACAATCTATAACTCGATTTACACGCGTTGTCTTGGGTCTATACTGCAAGAAATTTCTTGGAACATTAGCTATAACAAATGAGCCATGAGAGACTGCATAACAAAAAGAACATGTGGATTTAACAACTATAGTTCTACCTTTGAAATTTGAATGGCAGCTTTTCCAGACAAATACCTCAACGCTACAATCAAAAGATACAATTAGTTATCTTAAAGCTAGCTTTTGAGAATCCATAATTCTTTAGCATATTCAGCCCTTTTGGTTTGGTTGTACATGTTTTCACCTTTTCTATTAGTGTTCTTTCTGTTCTTGCACCACCAAATTACTATTTTTCCTATAAATCAAGAATAAGAGTGCACAATAAAAAATCAAGAATTATGGTATGCTTGATATGTCTTTGTAAAGTGGTGAGCAACTTGAGCGAAAACTAAGAAAAGCCCTTGCCAAACTATAGAATTGCACGACACCAAATCGGTGTGATTCAACAAAGCAATTAAAAATATAACCAAAAAATACCACAAAATCAAGTTGTCGGACACTATAGTAAAATTCTGCCATTAGCTGCATAAGTAGTTCTGAATCATGCAATAAATTGATGTTAGATCTTTTCATTCTTTAGCATATAGTAGTCAACTATTCCATCCATCTACAACTCAACTTTTGTAGCTAACTTGACGTCATTAGTGTCACGACCCAAACCGATGGGCTGCGACGGGTGCCTGAGTCCTACCTGTCAAACACCCCTAAGCATGCGTCTAGGATATAAACCTGTATAACATTTGTTGAATTACGAAAATAACATACATGAAGGAAACCTGCCAACAAGACATATGTACATATACATGCAGAATACAATGGGCGAGCCGGCAAGGCTGCCATAGACAACTATACATCCAATAACTGAAAGCCGACAAGGCCACATACAACCCAACTAGACATACTGTCTACAAACATCTAATAGAAACATAACTGTACAAAGACGGGACTAAGCCACGTCATACCCATATACATATATTTATATATACAAACGTATCGTACCAAAATCAAAAGCAGCTCCGAATCAAGTGGAGCACGCCAACTCTCGCTGGATCAGGGATTCTAAGAAGGGTGACCGTCAACTTGCCTACCTGCGGGCATGAAACGCAGGCCCCGTGAATAAGGCGTCAGTACGAAAAATGTACTGAGTATGTAAGGCATGAAAATTAGTACGTAAAAGACAGATGAAACATGGAATACAGAAACACATCTTTAAATCTGAATAGCTTTATAAATTCTGAAACGTTTATAATGTCATGCACGTGCGTGTAAATGTCGTGCCATACATAGGTATGGGTGTACATAATATCATCAAGCCACTGAGGGCATCCCATCATATCGTCTCGGCCACTGTGGGCAACATCATCAACATATATACCAGCTGATCAGATGATGGTGCGTATATAACGCCGTAACCTTTTCCCATATCCCATATACAAATATTTACATATATACGCGTATATAACGCCATCTGGTCATGGGTTAATGCACATGTATAAATGCGTGAAATGCATGAAAAAATACGTAATAATCTCAATATTCCTTCCGGATAAACTTTTCCAACTGCGTATTATTCTAAGACTCATAAACATAAGATAATAATAATTCTCATGGGGAATCAAGAATATAGGCACCCCTACTATTTCTATGAATAGAGTAATTTATGGAAACTGTGTTTGCTCGTTTTATTCAGTTTAATTTGGACAATGACAAAAGAAAGAAGGGAGGGCCTTAACATACCTGTTTCTTGAATTATTTGAACGAATCTGATTCTGCAAAATATGGATGAAATTTATACTTGGATTTCCTTGAAATTGAAAAGAACTTGTTTTGGATTTGAAATTTTGGAAGAATTTTTGATTCTGTTCTTTCACGTTTTTTTCTCAAAGACAAGATGTCTTTGAACTTAACCAAGAATCAGACTTACCAAGTGACTACTATTATTTTGTCCAAAAAGGAATTCAACATTTCAAGTCTTTCTTTAAAATGACTTATCATTACGAGTCATTAAATGACTTTACACGTTACAAGCATATATGACTATGAGTCATATGCTTGAATGGTGTCATACTACTGCGTGGGGAGTAGCGGTAAAGATTATTAATCTTTACCCACTTATTAGTTAACTGGGTAATGTTCCGTTACCCGGTAATTAACCAGCATAATTTAAAAATTATCACAAATTACTTAAAATTCTATTTATTTTTAAAATATTTCATATATACTTTATATATTATACTACCATGGTCATATGGTACCTTGCATGGTACTAGTTCATAATTATCGGGTATTATCGCTCGACCCGTATTTTATTCCAAATTGTCCACTTTCAACAAAACTCGTTTTCTTTAATCCGTGTACCCCTTCATCCTTCATAACACCTATTTATCGCTTGTTATAAATAGCGTAAGTATGTTAACGTCAAAACGATCTCATCCCCGAGTCCCGAGCCAAATCTATGGATAAGAATAGACGCTTTGTCAGTTCATTTTTTATATAACTTCAATTCAATAATTAAGAAAAAAGGTTAAAAAGGCTGAAGAAGCACCATTGGTGATTAAATCTAAGTATATGCCTTGGAGGAATTCAATGGAAAAATAATATTCATCCATCAGGGAAAAAAGGACAATGAAATAACTTCGTCCAAAAAATACAAATCCCACCCTTGAAATTCGGGAAATGGTTGGACTATAGCTATTATTTGTTCACATATATTATCAAAAAGATCGTCGAATGGATCCATAGTCTGCTTAAAACGC